TTACTAGCACCTACTCCTGTAGCAGCATTGACTACATAATAGTAAAGTTGTCCTGTAAAGTTGTTAGTTATTTAAATATATATAAATAAAGAGAAGTTGTAAGTATAATTCAGACAGTCCTAAATATGATCCTAATTTTTGCTTATATTGCTAAGCTGCATGGGGAAATCCCCTTCTTATCTTGGTTGAATTTATCACCACACCTCCCTTCTGAAGTTATGTCAGGAGAACCGTTCTCCTTGATTTTTAACCTCGCTGAGATAAGTGACTGTTTAGAATTGATTCTATGTCCTCCACCGATAACTAACATAAGTAATGATGTGCCACCACAACACGTCTGTTGAGAAATCAGGTTATTCCTGTTGCATTAAGCTATTTTAACAAGTAACATCTTAAAGTGTTATTTCCCCATTCTAATGTACCTAATCTATGAACAAAAAATGGGAAACAGCCAGTTTACTTGTGAGTCAGCACTATCCTGATTTCCTCCAAAGTGGTTGTGCTTATACTGCTCCTTTCTTGTTTGTTTCCTGTTCTTACAGCTGCTGCTGATAAAGTGCTTCCAAGAACAGTACTCTCAATTGTTTAAAATTTTTATCTACCTAGTGTACTTTTCCCCTTAAAATCCGTAATGAAATGGTCAAAACTGAATCAAACTTAATTTTTCCTGCTAGGTTTTGTTTAACTAGCTTAATTCATTGTCCTCAAACTAAATATCCATGTCCACATACTGTGGTGTAATAACATCACATGATTCAATATGATATTAAAGTAAAAATTGAGTGAATTAAGCTAGAGAGCCAAAGGACTTGGGTAGGCCGTCTGTGTTTAAAGGAGCTATTTTTCAATTGATAGACTTACTCAAGTGGTAAAGCAGCTAAATGACATGGTTTGTCTTCTAGAATTTTACCAGATATACATTTTTTCTTACAGATAAGCAATAATTTTACCAAGAGAAGTTAATATTGCATGCATATAGGTTGCCCCAAATATTTTCATTATACTTTTTGGGGATAAAACTAACAGGAAGTCCATTTATGTAGCTTAATAAGAAAAATAAGCCTTAAGAGGTTGAGTGAAACAAAGGTTTGCTATCTAGTGTCATACTGTACAATTAAATATTGATTTGTTTAACTGATGTTTACAGGCCTGTAATGTCCCAAGCCCTGTGTGAGATGTTGGCAATAGAATAGTAGCAACTTTCAGTCACTGCTTTTATTTTTTTAATTTTAAATACTTTCTGAGAATGTAGGATATTTGAAAAAGACACCCAGAACATCCTGGGTTTCTACAACACTCAGTATAAAGGTGAGACAAAATAATGGAAAGCTTTTCTGATTATTGAATTTAGGAAAATATGTTAGTTCACTTTAGAGTGAATAGCAAAGACTTGAGAAAACACCAAGGTATGGTGAATTAAAAAATTTGAAACAGATTTAGTTCTCAACCTGCAATAGCAGAATGTATCAGTTTCACATGAGCACCAATTCTAGAGTAATAAGGAATCAGCAGCTGGGTTTGTTGGCCATAATTTTGGGATCTTTTCTACTAGTTCTGTGTTCTAAATAGAAGATGTTTGTCAAGGTAAGTATCTCCTTCTTTTTTTTTTTTCCACTCTATAGAGAGGAAGAGTTGCTGCCAGAGAAGAGTCTGTGGAGTGATCACTGAAGATGTTTGTTAATTACTTAAAAATATAGACTATGTATTAGAAACAGAGGTGTTAAATAAGTCAAGATTATTGTATTTTAAGTGTGTTTTCCATTAATTTCTCTACATTGTCTAGCTTGTGTTTTTCCAGATAATTAAAAATACCTTACTCCTACATACCAATTAACTGACTTTTCAAAGCAAACATGTTTGTGAGGAAAAGACAGCATTTGCCATTTATTCTGTGCTTATATAAGTGGGTGCTCATAAGTTTAAACCTTTTGAGAATGTTTGAAACCTTTTGGGTATAAGAGAATACAAACTGGGAAGAGAGCTTTCCAGTTTGGGGAGAGATACGAATTTAGTTTACCTTGTGAAATCTAATAAATTTGAAAAGTTCCAATGTGATTTTGTTGTTCTAGAACATTAATGCTTTTTTTGTACAACTTGGTGCATCTTTTGAATATAATAACATAGCAGATAAGGCAACCATAAAACAAGACCATGTCTTTAGAAGACTAGCTGAAGTAAATGTGAATGACTGATACCATTTGTTTGATTTAATAAGTATTTCCAAAACTTATACATGCAGGATTTTAAAATCAAATAGTTGAGAAGGATTTAATGTGAAAAGCATTAGTCATTCTCCCCATCCCACCCTCTTTCTTCTTCTACTGGGGTCAACAACTTGTAACTTTTAGATTTTAATGCATCCAGTGACATCTAGTGATACTTTCTTAAGAAATATGTTTTAACTGCTTTTCAAAAAAATAACGTAAGTCGTCTATTAACTTACTGTAATGTAAGCAAGCTAAATATTCATTTATACCTCTTGCCCCCTAAAGTTGTCACAATTTTTGTTACATTGTTAACAGGTTGATTCTTCATGACTTCTTAAAAAGTATTTTAAAAAAAAACCTCTCTTTCTTATCCCATCAACCAAACCGATTTCTAGATTCTTCATTTTCTAAAATGAGGATATTGTCATCCACACCCTTCCTTGGAACAACTGAAATTTATAGCCTAAGTTAAAACATGTAGTTTCATTAATAGAAGTATTCACTAAGGTCAGTGTCTGAACACTTAATGCTGAACTTTATGAGGAAAGCCTGATATAGATATGAAGTAAATCAAAGTAGCATAATTCATTTACTGGACAATTGCTGAATAGCCTTTTTTAAATGGCTTAGGAATTGTGGCTCTGAAACTGTAGAGAAGGAAACAAAAGTACACCATTTGCCTGTGCTGAAGCTTGATAGTATAAATACTATTTACTAGTCAATTTCTAGGATCAACCTCTGTCCAGAGGACAGAATATTTAATTATGGGTCTAGAGTAGAGAATATATTTATTTGCTTGTATTCCTAATATACACCCCTCCCAAATTGTGCTACATAATTAGCAATAACAAATTTAAAATCACAACTTGGGAAACACAAGCATATATGCAAATAAAAACATACTTTCAATTGCAAAATACCCTTCCTACAAATAGTACTTAACTTTACTGAGAATGTATGTATAGTTTACCTTTGAATAACACAGGGTTTACAGGTGCCTGACCCCTGTGCAGTCAAAACCTGCATATAACTTTTCACTTCCCAAAAACTTAACTACTAATAGTCTACTGTTAACTGGAAGCCATACCTGTAACATAAACAGTAGATTAAAGCATTTTGTATATTGTATGTTTTATATATTGTCTCCCTATAATAAAGTAAGTTAGAGGAAAGAAAATGTTAAAATCATAAAACAAAACATTTATTGTACTGTATTGAAAACAAATCTGCTTATAAGTGAACCCACACAGTTCAAACCTATGTTGTTCAAGAGTCAACTGTACTGTTTTTTTTTTACAATTCTTTAAAAAAAAAGTGGTAGTTGCAACTCAGTAAACTGATTTCATGACCAGTGTGGAGGTGTGAACTAAGGTATAAGATCAGTACCTTTCAGCAGATAAGAAGTAACATAGAAAGTAAGTTGTTATAAATTTTTCTCTTTACATAGGACATTGGCTCTTTGGATTATCAGGAGTTGGTAGTTGACATTGAGTCTAAACTGAGGATGGAAGGTGTGGAACTTAAGGAAGAATGGCAAGATGAAGATTTTCCAATGTGAGCAATACTTTTAAATGAAAACAAATTTAAAACAAAACATCAAAATTTCTTTATCAAGGTGTCACTTATTATATTGGGCTTTTTAAAAGAACCCAGTATTGCAAGGTATTCATTTGATACTAGGATATCAAAGTTCCTTTCCAACAGCTAGACTAATTATCTTGTATCTTACTCTCCAACCAAATATATGCTTGATCTTCTGTAATCTTTCATTTTGATTTGAACATTTAAGTTTCACAATTTTTGCTGTTACAGTGTTTTTAATGTGCTATTTCTTAAAACTAGAGTCTGAGGGGTTCCTGGGAGAAAGGGACCTTTATGTGTAAAGATTGTTAAAATTTTGTGCTTTTAAGAAAAAAATCTTATTGAATGAATAAGCAAGGATTTCTAGATCATCTGGCCAGCTACCCTGACATATTTGCATATATATTTACAATTTTGTTGGCATAGTTGAGTTAAGAAAAAGAGCAAAGGCGGGACTTGTATTTAAATGATGCTCCCATGCTACCATGGTCAGAAGACCATCAGAGTGCTCAGGAATGCCCCTCAGCACCTGGAATGTGGACAGCTGGTGAGAGTACTGAGTCATTGCATAGCACATGATGATAATAGTAATACAGAAATGCTGAGGTCCAAAGAATTTTAGTCATCATAACTATATTACCATTGTGAGGGATAATTTACCTTCCTTATACACCACATTAAATTNCTACCATTGGGCAAACCTTGATTAAGTAGTATTATGAGTCAAGACTCATAAAACTTATTGGAAATTTTAAAAAATAGTAGGTTGATCGTTCGTTCCCTCGTTTGAGAAGCACTGCTGAAGAGCTAGCTATTCACCATCAAGAAACCCAGGATTCTTCTCAGTTTAGCCCCCCAAATTGAGGCCTCGGGTATTTTTGTTACCCTCTTTTCATGCATTTTATAATATACAATTATTGTAATGATGAATGAAACCAACACAAAGAACGTAAAAATGGCTCTTGGAGACTCGAGGGCAGCGTCCGAAGCGGAGGGAGTGGAAGCACCTGCGGCCTCGGAAAGGCCGCGGATGAGGAGGTCGACGCGCCCCGCCAGCCACGAACACTGGCCGGCCCTCGCGCGCATGCGCGAGCCTCCGGCCCCCGCCGGCTGGAGGAGAGAGGGAAGGGACTCGGGAGTGTCAATAAAATGCCACGCCTCCGCCCCGCCCCCGCCCGCTGCCGCCCCTGGGAAACTCGGCCTGTTGTCACTTCCGCCGAGGCAGCTCTGTGCATCCGGGTCACCTGCTGCGGCTGTGTGCCGCTGTCGCTGCCGCTGTAACCGGGGTCCTGGGCCTGGGTCTCCACCGCCGTCCGAGGGGAGCGGGCTCCGCTCGGCGCTACTTTCTACGACCTGGCCGTCAGCCCCACATCGCCAACCTGGAGGGGCGAAGACGACGAGGAGGCCAAGGGTTCCTCCGGGGTGAGTGTTGCTCGGCAACGCCGGGCTCTCTGGGTCTGGGCTGGGGGCAGGCCCGGGGCGGACGTCGGAGGGTCGCGGGCCCCCGGCCGGCCCGAGGGAGGAAGCCCGGACGCTCATCCGTGTAGGGGGCGCCGCAGAACCTGCCCGGCCGGCGCTTGCGAGATCCCCGCCTAGTTTAGGCCCCCGCCCTTGGCTTGGCTCCCGTTCGTATTTGCCATCCTTGCCTCTCTACTCCGCCCCTTCCCCTTTCCCATCTGTGATGGTTGTGCTCGGGGTGGAACCGGCCCCTCTTCGCCCCCCTGCACACACCCCGGTCTGGGTGCGGTGACTGGGCCACAACGTTGGTTTCGCGTTTATGGCAGCGTCCGTCCTGATGCAGAACAAAGAAACTTGGACGTTTGAAGTGCCTCATACCCTCGGGGAATAGACAGGGAAGATGCATTCGTAATGAGAGCTTTAATAGACTTTGCCAAGTTGCAAAAAAGCCAAGCTGCGGCCTGGATTCAGACACTGCAGTCTGTCTGCTTAAATACCTGGCAGAAATGGTTTGAATTACCTGGATGCATCTGATGCCACTGGAGATACAGATCGACCCATGTTAAATAAGAAATGTATTTGGTTTTATTAAGTTGTTTTGAAACTTCCCTTGTGTGCCTGTTCCGGGAGTTAAGGGCATAGTTTCTGTCGCGTTCATTCAGGTCGTCCTAGCACCTTCCATGTAGTTAGTTGAGTGAAGTGTGTGATTGGATTTTAATGTTGCTTTTTTTCATCATCACCTGTTTTGATAGGATCCTTTTTTTCCAAAAACTTAATAACTTTTAAAAAATTGAATGTGTTCTTTCTCTCAAATTTTATTAGAATTGCTGCAATTTGTGAAGGAATGTTCCTCAAAATTATGTACCCAGTTTAGTTACCCTGCAGACTATTTTCTTGATGAGTTTTCACATCTTAATTCTTGACATTTTACATTTTCTCTAAAGTCCCTGCTTAGTCTTCAGAATTTCCTCTGTTGCAACCTAATATTGTTGGACTCAGACAGCCAGTTGACAGATCCACTTCTGCGAACACAGAACTTGAACTGGATCACCTAAGTCAGGCTATTGTAGACTTTAGCCATTACAGGACCTTTGAGGCTAAGCAAATCTGGTATTATACAGGCTTACTCTGTATCAAGTTGCCAGGGAACTGGAGGCAGTGTGCTGTATTAGAAACAGTCTGTGTCTGGGAACCAGAATGTAGCGTCATTTGCCTCATATGATAAAATGGAGGTAACACCCATATTCTAGACCTCACAAAATTCTTGGTTGGAACATGAGATGGTTAGTGTACAAGTGGTTGGTTAATATGAAAAGCATTCTTTGGGAAAGAGTTCTCTTTTTTTACAAGGTTGGCAGCGCTAGGGGCAGATACTTTAGGCCAGCCTGTATGTTTATGAAGATCACCAAAACACCTCCGGAAAAACCTTTAGAGCAGGGTCATGTAGGCTTTTAAGAATGAAATGACACAATGAGCTACACACCTGTTACTCCATTTGGAGTGATGCTGGTAAAAGGAGCAGCAATGGAGGAAGGCATCTAAGAAATGAAGTATATCTAGCGATCTGATAAAATCACCTTGGCTGTCAGTGAATTAAAAGATGTCCTTTAAACTTACATCCTATAAAGCAGAATAGTAGTATAATATGATGGTAATGATCCAAAATTATAATTTTGTTACAACAAACATTTGTAACTCTATACTAAAGTGTTAGAGATCAGTTATTAGACTTTAATCTTTACAAAGGTCTCAGAGCTTCTCCAGTATGTTCTGCATACTGATAGTAACTCTACCTTTTATAGGTAGCATAGCTATCCTTTGCTTTGTTTTCATAATTTTGAGAGAAGTCAGCACCATTTGTAATTTCTCTTGAATTTTATGTTAAAATTTCTGATAGAGTATGTCATTTCATTTTTTAAATTGAGGCATAACTGATGTATGACATACTTGTTTCAAATGTACAACATAATGATTCAATATATGTATATATTGCAAAATGATCACCACAAGTCAACATTCATCACCACATATTGTTAACAGATTTTTCTCTTGTGATGAGAACTTCAAACATTTATTCTCTTAGCAATTTTCAAATATGTACTATAGTATTATTAACTGTAGTCACCATGCCATATATTACATCCCTAGAACTTATTTTACAAGTGGAAGTTTGTACCTTTTGACTTCCCTCTTATTTCACTGCCACTGCCTGTGGCAACCAGCAGTCTGTTCTCTGTACCTATGAGCTTGGGGTTTTTTGTTTTTAAGATTCCACATACAAGTGAGATCATAATGGTATTTGTCTTTGTCTGACTGACTTATTTCACTTAACATAAAGATGTCAGGGTCCATCCATATCGTCACAAATGGCAAGATTTCATTCTTTGTTATAGCTGAGTAAATATTCCACTGTGTGTATACATCACGTTTTCTTAATCCTTTCATCCATGAATGGACACTTAAGATTGCCTCCATATCTTGGCTATTGTAAATAATGCTGCAATGAGTGTGAGGGTGCATATATTTTTTTGAGATAGTGATGTCATTTTCTTTATGTAAATACCCAGAAGTGGAATTGCTGGATCATATGTATGGTAGTTGTATTTTTAATTTTTTGAGGAATCTCCGTAGTATTTTCCATAGGGGCCACACCAGTTTACATTACCACCAACAGCGCATGAGGATTTCCTATTTTCCACCTCCTTGCCAGTGCCTGTTATTTCTTGTATGTTTGGTAATAGCCATTCTAACAAGTGTAAGTCTCGTTGTGTCATTTCATTCTTAAAAACCTGCACAACCCTGCTCTGAAGGAAACAACACAGGCAAGCATAAGGATTTCTCTGGAGCTGTTCTGGTACTCTTCATAAACATATAGGCTGGCCTGAAGTATTTTACTGTAGCGCTGCCAGTGTTGCCAACCTAATAAAAAAAAGTCGTCATAAATGTTTAGGATGAAGCCCTTTTGTTTAAATAGAGAAATGAAAGCCTTGCCTGGGCATTTCCTTCTGCCAACTGTAATTGATTTCAGCATGGGTAGTGGTTACTAGCACCTACTCCTGTAGCAGCATTGACTACATAATAGTAAAGTTGTCCTGTAAAGTTGTTAGTTATTTAAATATATATAAATAAAGAGAAGTTGTAAGTATAATTCAGACAGTCCTAAATATGATCCTAATTTTTGCTTATATTGCTAAGCTGCATGGGGAAATCCCCTTCTTATCTTGGTTGAATTTATCACCACACCTCCCTTCTGAAGTTATGTCAGGAGAACCGTTCTCCTTGATTTTTAACCTCGCTGAGATAAGTGACTGTTTAGAATTGATTCTATGTCCTCCACCGATAACTAACATAAGTAATGATGTGCCACCACAACACGTCTGTTGAGAAATCAGGTTATTCCTGTTGCATTAAGCTATTTTAACAAGTAACATCTTAAAGTGTTATTTCCCCATTCTAATGTACCTAATCTATGAACAAAAAATGGGAAACAGCCAGTTTACTTGTGAGTCAGCACTATCCTGATTTCCTCCAAAGTGGTTGTGCTTATACTGCTCCTTTCTTGTTTGTTTCCTGTTCTTACAGCTGCTGCTGATAAAGTGCTTCCAAGAACAGTACTCTCAATTGTTTAAAATTTTTATCTACCTAGTGTACTTTTCCCCTTAAAATCCGTAATGAAATGGTCAAAACTGAATCAAACTTAATTTTTCCTGCTAGGTTTTGTTTAACTAGCTTAATTCATTGTCCTCAAACTAAATATCCATGTCCACATACTGTGGTGTAATAACATCACATGATTCAATATGATATTAAAGTAAAAATTGAGTGAATTAAGCTAGAGAGCCAAAGGACTTGGGTAGGCCGTCTGTGTTTAAAGGAGCTATTTTTCAATTGATAGACTTACTCAAGTGGTAAAGCAGCTAAATGACATGGTTTGTCTTCTAGAATTTTACCAGATATACATTTTTTCTTACAGATAAGCAATAATTTTACCAAGAGAAGTTAATATTGCATGCATATAGGTTGCCCCAAATATTTTCATTATACTTTTTGGGGATAAAACTAACAGGAAGTCCATTTATGTAGCTTAATAAGAAAAATAAGCCTTAAGAGGTTGAGTGAAACAAAGGTTTGCTATCTAGTGTCATACTGTACAATTAAATATTGATTTGTTTAACTGATGTTTACAGGCCTGTAATGTCCCAAGCCCTGTGTGAGATGTTGGCAATAGAATAGTAGCAACTTTCAGTCACTGCTTTTATTTTTTTAATTTTAAATACTTTCTGAGAATGTAGGATATTTGAAAAAGACACCCAGAACATCCTGGGTTTCTACAACACTCAGTATAAAGGTGAGACAAAATAATGGAAAGCTTTTCTGATTATTGAATTTAGGAAAATATGTTAGTTCACTTTAGAGTGAATAGCAAAGACTTGAGAAAACACCAAGGTATGGTGAATTAAAAAATTTGAAACAGATTTAGTTCTCAACCTGCAATAGCAGAATGTATCAGTTTCACATGAGCACCAATTCTAGAGTAATAAGGAATCAGCAGCTGGGTTTGTTGGCCATAATTTTGGGATCTTTTCTACTAGTTCTGTGTTCTAAATAGAAGATGTTTGTCAAGGTAAGTATCTCCTTCTTTTTTTTTTTTCCACTCTATAGAGAGGAAGAGTTGCTGCCAGAGAAGAGTCTGTGGAGTGATCACTGAAGATGTTTGTTAATTACTTAAAAATATAGACTATGTATTAGAAACAGAGGTGTTAAATAAGTCAAGATTATTGTATTTTAAGTGTGTTTTCCATTAATTTCTCTACATTGTCTAGCTTGTGTTTTTCCAGATAATTAAAAATACCTTACTCCTACATACCAATTAACTGACTTTTCAAAGCAAACATGTTTGTGAGGAAAAGACAGCATTTGCCATTTATTCTGTGCTTATATAAGTGGGTGCTCATAAGTTTAAACCTTTTGAGAATGTTTGAAACCTTTTGGGTATAAGAGAATACAAACTGGGAAGAGAGCTTTCCAGTTTGGGGAGAGATACGAATTTAGTTTACCTTGTGAAATCTAATAAATTTGAAAAGTTCCAATGTGATTTTGTTGTTCTAGAACATTAATGCTTTTTTTGTACAACTTGGTGCATCTTTTGAATATAATAACATAGCAGATAAGGCAACCATAAAACAAGACCATGTCTTTAGAAGACTAGCTGAAGTAAATGTGAATGACTGATACCATTTGTTTGATTTAATAAGTATTTCCAAAACTTATACATGCAGGATTTTAAAATCAAATAGTTGAGAAGGATTTAATGTGAAAAGCATTAGTCATTCTCCCCATCCCACCCTCTTTCTTCTTCTACTGGGGTCAACAACTTGTAACTTTTAGATTTTAATGCATCCAGTGACATCTAGTGATACTTTCTTAAGAAATATGTTTTAACTGCTTTTCAAAAAAATAACGTAAGTCGTCTATTAACTTACTGTAATGTAAGCAAGCTAAATATTCATTTATACCTCTTGCCCCCTAAAGTTGTCACAATTTTTGTTACATTGTTAACAGGTTGATTCTTCATGACTTCTTAAAAAGTATTTTAAAAAAAAACCTCTCTTTCTTATCCCATCAACCAAACCGATTTCTAGATTCTTCATTTTCTAAAATGAGGATATTGTCATCCACACCCTTCCTTGGAACAACTGAAATTTATAGCCTAAGTTAAAACATGTAGTTTCATTAATAGAAGTATTCACTAAGGTCAGTGTCTGAACACTTAATGCTGAACTTTATGAGGAAAGCCTGATATAGATATGAAGTAAATCAAAGTAGCATAATTCATTTACTGGACAATTGCTGAATAGCCTTTTTTAAATGGCTTAGGAATTGTGGCTCTGAAACTGTAGAGAAGGAAACAAAAGTACACCATTTGCCTGTGCTGAAGCTTGATAGTATAAATACTATTTACTAGTCAATTTCTAGGATCAACCTCTGTCCAGAGGACAGAATATTTAATTATGGGTCTAGAGTAGAGAATATATTTATTTGCTTGTATTCCTAATATACACCCCTCCCAAATTGTGCTACATAATTAGCAATAACAAATTTAAAATCACAACTTGGGAAACACAAGCATATATGCAAATAAAAACATACTTTCAATTGCAAAATACCCTTCCTACAAATAGTACTTAACTTTACTGAGAATGTATGTATAGTTTACCTTTGAATAACACAGGGTTTACAGGTGCCTGACCCCTGTGCAGTCAAAACCTGCATATAACTTTTCACTTCCCAAAAACTTAACTACTAATAGTCTACTGTTAACTGGAAGCCATACCTGTAACATAAACAGTAGATTAAAGCATTTTGTATATTGTATGTTTTATATATTGTCTCCCTATAATAAAGTAAGTTAGAGGAAAGAAAATGTTAAAATCATAAAACAAAACATTTATTGTACTGTATTGAAAACAAATCTGCTTATAAGTGAACCCACACAGTTCAAACCTATGTTGTTCAAGAGTCAACTGTACTGTTTTTTTTTTACAATTCTTTAAAAAAAAAGTGGTAGTTGCAACTCAGTAAACTGATTTCATGACCAGTGTGGAGGTGTGAACTAAGGTATAAGATCAGTACCTTTCAGCAGATAAGAAGTAACATAGAAAGTAAGTTGTTATAAATTTTTCTCTTTACATAGGACATTGGCTCTTTGGATTATCAGGAGTTGGTAGTTGACATTGAGTCTAAACTGAGGATGGAAGGTGTGGAACTTAAGGAAGAATGGCAAGATGAAGATTTTCCAATGTGAGCAATACTTTTAAATGAAAACAAATTTAAAACAAAACATCAAAATTTCTTTATCAAGGTGTCACTTATTATATTGGGCTTTTTAAAAGAACCCAGTATTGCAAGGTATTCATTTGATACTAGGATATCAAAGTTCCTTTCCAACAGCTAGACTAATTATCTTGTATCTTACTCTCCAACCAAATATATGCTTGATCTTCTGTAATCTTTCATTTTGATTTGAACATTTAAGTTTCACAATTTTTGCTGTTACAGTGTTTTTAATGTGCTATTTCTTAAAACTAGAGTCTGAGGGGTTCCTGGGAGAAAGGGACCTTTATGTGTAAAGATTGTTAAAATTTTGTGCTTTTAAGAAAAAAATGAATAAGCAAGGATTTCTAGATCATCTGGCCAGCTACCCTGACATATTTGCATATATATTTACAATTTTGTTGGCATAGTTGAGTTAAGAAAAAGAGCAAAGGCGGGACTTGTATTTAAATGATGCTCCCATGCTACCATGGTCAGAAGACCATCAGAGTGCTCAGGAATGCCCCTCAGCACCTGGAATGTGGACAGCTGGTGAGAGTACTGAGTCATTGCATAGCACATGATGATAATAGTAATACAGAAATGCTGAGGTCCAAAGAATTTTAGTCATCATAACTATATTACCATTGTGAGGGATAATTTACCTTCCTTATACACCACATTAAATTTGTGCATTTTAATTATGTTTGCTTTGTAGGTTGTTTATAGTTTCTATATTTGTTTTCTACTTGTACTTAACAGCATTTACATAAGGAATTTTTATTTGCTTTTAGTTGTTACTTATAAGAATATGTAAATCAACTCTGATAGCCTGAAAATTTTTTCTTTAAAAATGGCTTATAAATTAGTAAAGCTTCAGAAACACTGCTTTATTCAGTTCCACATAACTGTTTCTATAAGCTATTTTTAATAGATATTTGAACATCAAAAAACTTTTTTTTAAAATTTCTGGGTTAAAAAGTATGTCTATATCTTTTAGACCTTTACCAGAAGATGATAGTATTGAAGCAGATATATTAGCTGTAACTGGACCAGAGAGCCAGCCTGGTAAGAATTTGACACTTTTAGTTTTGTTGAAATAATAGACTTTGTACTATTTTTTAACATATTTCTTTTCAAGGAAAAAAATAATACTGTTTTCATTCCATTGTAGGGAGCCAAAGGGTAAGTTGAATGTTTAGGAAAGCATTTTTTGAAATGCTTTGGAAATTTTTGGAAATGTAACTTTCCGAAAATATACCATTAGTTTTTGCAAGTTTCTATAATAAAAGGCCAGAGAGGAGATCATTTTTAGTAGTAAGAGGTGACTATAAGGTCTACCTCTAATTATTAAAAAAGACATATTCTTTCTGGGATACATCATCTTGCCATGAAGTAGAAGCAATGGTGATTAGAATCAAAAGTTTCTAAATTAGTGCTTTGGGTTATGTTTAATTAATGTTACTTTTCTCAAGAGTAAAATGGTTAAACTTTTTTTTAAATTCAACCTGAGCATCTAAGCATTCCTTCAGTATATCTTTCACTTTGTTCACTCATTCCAGGCTCACTAGAAGTTAATGGAAATAAAGTAAGAAAGAAACTAATGGCTCCAGACATTAGCCTGACCCTGGATCCTAGTGATGGCTCTGTGTTGTCAGATGATTTGGATGAAAGTGGGGAGATTGACCTAGATGGCTTAGACACACCGTCAGAGAACAGTAATGAGTTTGAATGGGAAGGTAAAAGTTCATTGTGTTTATCTGACCTTTATTAATGAATGTTTGTCTTTATATACATACATGTTTTTACAGTGACATTCTCATATTAGGATAATTGAAAAAACTTAAAACTTATCATGAAACCAATTAAAATCAGTAATTAAGGGATATTGAAATATGTTATTCTTTCTAAAGTTTAGATATTTGTTACTCAGATATGAAATTCTGGTAACACTAAATATTCTCATGGCTTTCAAAATTGTTTATAGTAGATTACACAGGTGGTTTTATTTTCTTAATTGCCTAATACTCTTAAATATGTCCTTTCATATTGCTTCCAAAATACTACTTGATAGTTATGGCATGTTCTTTTATTCAATTCAGTCAATCAGCTAAGAAAAAAAAGCTTTGAAAAGACATATAGTTTAGGGAATGTGCTAAAAGTAGTTAAGGGTTTGCAGAGAGGGAGTTCTGGAGGTAGGGTTTTTTTTGGTATCATTAGTATACAATTACATGAGCAACATTGTGGTTACTACATTGGAGGGAGGTGTTTTAGGGTGATTTTTTTAAGTAGGTTTGCCTGAAAGTGCTGCACTTTGTAAACAACCAACTTGAATTAATGTATACTCTTAACCCCAAACCTTATATTCCTTATCATTAGTTGTTTGGAATTCACAGGAATTGGCATATGTTTTGCTTTGCATACTTTCTTTACTTAGATAGTTGCTGTCAACAGTATCTTTATATAGTTGTTAATAAGTTATATGTGTGTGTGTGTGTATATATATATATATATATACACATATATATGTATGCATATATTCCCATCTTTAAAGTGATTTTTAATTCAAAGCAGTGTTTAGCATTAGTTATCTTTCCTGCAGTAAAGACTAAGGTCCTTAATATGCTGTATCTTCTGTTCATTTCCTTTTTCCCATTTTACCAGTTCAGTAAGCAGTCCAGTAATGAGCAATATTTTATAAAGATACTGAAATAGTTTTCTGCCTATGTGTTTTGTCTCTCCTTTCTTTAATGCTGCTGTAGTCATTTCCTGGAAGGATATTTTCCGTTAACAGCTTTGTCTTGGAAACAACTAACATGCAGTAGGTTTCCCCTCCCCCCATCTTTTGGTAAGACTATGATACTAAAATTTTGAAAATCATTATTTCTTAAAAATCAGCTAAAATGCGATCTTGAAATATAAATTACACCTAATCATTGGTGCTTATGCTTTGGTTAATGACAAGTTAAAATAGACTTTTGCATGTACACTTCAGAATATTATTAATAAGTTCCTGCTTTATAAAACTGATCAAATGAGGAATAATCATTGACTCGTTAACCACTTTCTATCTGGTATTATAATGTTTGGGGAATAATTTATGTGCTCAACAACAACAAAAAGCAATTGGCTCCCAGATACTTATTATTTAGCCTATGGTGGTAAAAATGTTGTTAAAAAAAACCTGGAAAGGCATTGTAGAGCCAGTATAGTAAGATTTTGATGGCTGTATGTAGTATCTTTTCTGGATACAGGGATGTACATTGCACTATAATTAGATGCTATTTGAACTAGGCAGTGCAATCAAAATTAAAGAACCGTGATTTCCAAAAACATAAAATGCCTTAATATCAAGAGCAAGCCTTTTCTTCTACTATAGAAGAAATATTTAAAATCCACAGAAGATACAATAAAAAAATTCTCTAAACAATCTAATTAGATGGTAAAGTGGTTAACATGTAATTTGATTTTTATTGTATAAATAACAGTTTGATTCAAAAACCTCTTATTTTCACAGATGATCTTCCAAAACCCAAAACTACTGAAATTATTAGAAAAGGTTCAATTACTGAATACACAGCAGCAGAGGAAAAAGAAGATGGACGACGCTGGCGAATGTTCAGAATTGGAGAACAAGACCACAGGGTTGATATGAAAGCAATTGAACCATATAAAAAAGTTATCAGCCATGGAGGTAAGAGTTACTGAGGATTGTTCAGATTTTTTAATGCAATATCTGAAACCATTTACTTAAAGAAACTCTCCCTTGAGATACTACATAATTTGGAAAGTATGTTAATTAGGTTATTTTAGAAACATAACAGGTTTGAAGTAAAAGGATGAACTCAGCATTTAAAAAGTCATTCATACGTGCATACATTATGTTCAAAAGGTACAAGAAGGTGCAGTGAAAACTATCTCCTTGCCCCTATCCCTTAGCCTCCTAAAACTAGGACTTTACTTTGTCCCCTTTTTATCCATTTATAGTTTATATAAGTAAAATGATCTAATCCCTTTTTTTAATCTATCTTTAAAATCTCTATCTGCTTTTTTGTAGCCATTTGCAAATTTCTTTCTTTTCCAGCTTCATTGAGATATAATTTATATATAATATTGTGTAGGTTTAATGTGGTAAAATATGTTGATCTGTTATGTTATATATTGCAAAGTGATTACCATTATACTGCTAGCTAATACCTGCATTATGCCACATAATTACCATTCCTTTTTTGTGGTAAGAACATTTAAAATCTACTGTTAGTAACTTTTCAAGTATGTAATACAGCATTATTAACTATAATCACCATGTTGTATTCCCAGAATTTATTCATCTTGTAACTGGAAGTTTGTACCAGACCTTGGTAACCACCATTCTAGTCTCTGTTTCTATGAGTTTAACTTTTATAGCTCCCACATAAAAGTGATATCATATAGTATTTATCTTTCTTCTGACTTAATTTCACTTAGAAATGCTCTAATCTTAAGTGTATGGCTCAGTGAATTTTGACAAGTGTCCGTATAAATATATATATATATACCCATGTATTCTACACTACTAGACACAGCATGTTTTCACTGCCCCCCTCAAATTCTCCAGTACTCCCTCTCAGTGGATACCCCCTCTCCAGTACTTCTATTCTAATGTCTACTCCCATGATCAGTTTTACCTGTTAACAGGATTTCATGTAACCAGAGTCATAGTACACAGACTTACCTACTTCCTTTTGCTCAGCTTAATGTTTTTGAGATTCATTCATGTTGTTGTATGTATCTGTAGTTTATTCCCTTTGTTGCTGAGAGGTATTCCATTGCATGGATAAACCATAATTTGCTTATCCATTCTTCTTTTGATGGAGATGTGAACTGTTTCAAGTTTGGGCTAGTATGATTAAAACTGCCATGTACATTCTTCTACAACTCTTTGTCGATATAAGAACTGGCTTTTTAAAAGGTGGCTCTTAACTTACCTTAAACCCTGAACAAATCACTTAGCTTTACCACAAAGCAGAGAACTAACTCATTTCACATTTTTATGGAGCAGCTACAATGTGATTTATCCCTTTCCCTAAGAAATTTACAAATCTTATAGGAAAAGCTATGAAGTGCAATTATATCAGTCTGTGCTGTGTATAGAAGCTTATCCAGGCACTATATAAATAGTACCAGAATATTAATGACAGTTAAAGCGCAACTTACTCTGTAGAGCACGTTAAATTACCTGAAATCCTTCTAACACAGGACAGGAGACCAGTTTGGCCAAGCAGATTGGTTTTTTTTCCATGTACAGTCATTTCCACTTACTTTACTCTCTGTCAAATGCCTTCACTGCTTATTGCTATAGTCTTAATTCATCTGAAAGCAAATCACTTGAATATTTGCAGTTACATTATTCCACCTAATTTAATCTTATTCAGATGAAGAAAACAGGATAAACTGGATCAGGAAGTCCACAGGCACCCATTAATTCAGCTCGTTCATAGGAAGCAAGTTGTGAAACCTGCCTCATGGTTTAAACCTAATGTCTCTCAGGAATAACACTTTTTCTTAGGGAAATATAATTAGGGCCATTTTAGTCTATGGAATTATCACAGTATGTTCTGTGACTCAGGTATTAAGAAAAATAGTAAAAATTTTAATGTACCTAAAATAGTTCAAACCTTTTCAGTGCATGTTTATAAATAATAGAAATGAAAAGTTAAAGCAAAATGGTTTTTTACTGGATACAGCTTAATATCTAGAGATTATAACTGAAGCACACATTTTAGCACTGTTTTTCTTCACTTAAAATTAATGTCAGAAAGAAATGTAATCTTTTCTTAGTTTTTAGTACTGTAGTATCTACCAAATGTAGGCATTTTGAATGTAAAACTTTTTTAAAAAGCACCCACTTTAACTATAAATTGCACAGGAATATTTTTATTGTAGAGGTTGTATCTGCTTTAATTATATAACTGTATTTGTCTACTTGCTAAAATAAGGCCAGCTTTCAGTTTAAGTGGCTTTCTGGTTTTTATGCCCACCATTTACTCTTCAAAATTTATTATTCTCTTTTTGAGAAGAGAGGATTTAAAGATCTCTATATAAGGCAAATAAAGCTTAAAATAATACTCTGATCAGAAATTTGTAGAAGATAAACCACTATAATCTATCAACCATACAGATGTCCTTTGAAAAATCTTCAGAGTAAAATGCTGGTGATTTTGTCTTTGGTTTCCTTTTCAGGATATTATGGGGATGGATTAAATGCCATTGTTGTGTTTGCTGTCTGTTTTATGCCTGAAAGTGGTCAACCTAACTATAGATACCTGATGGACAATCTCTTTAAGTAAGTATATCTTCACAAAAAGGTTTGGACAGAATTCTGAGTTAATTAGATCTCTAATTTAAGGAAATGCACTTTAGTTGGGTAAAAATGATAAATATCCCAGTTCTGGGTCTCTTAGTCCTTACTATTTGGCATTATGAAACTATCCCATTTTTCCACTCAACAGAAAAATTGTCATTTTAAAAATGAAAGGGATATTTCAGATTATCTGTTCCAATTTCTTTATTTTACATTTGAGAACACATTAAATGTAAAGAGTGACTGTATCTCAAAATCATATGGCAAAGTCACATTTGCTCCCAAGAAGCCAAATATAACTGAGCTGATTCAGTTCTGTTGTATTTCCATGGTCATTAACTTAGTGCAGCTTTTTAAAACTTTATTGTGCAAAATTTCAAACATACACAAAGGTAGAAGTAAGCTGAATCTTTATGTACCAATCACCCACTTCCACAATTATTGATTTGTACTTCATTCCCACAATTTATATCCCTCTTCAATTTATTTTGAAGCAAATCCCAGGCATCATGTATCATTTCTTCTAGAAACATTTCACCAAGTATTTCTAAAAGATAGGCACTCTTTTTTCTTTAAATAATCATAATACCAACTAATGCAGTTTTAAAATGTTAATTGCTCTCACTGAAGGAGAGAGAAGGGAGTTGCATGCTTTGGATAACCTAGTTTTGTTCTGCAAAGTGATATTTAGTACTTAAACTTAATTTGTTTTTACAGGTATGTTATTGGCACTTTGGAACTATTAGTAGCAGAAAACTACATGATAGTTTATTTAAATGGTGCAACAACTCGAAGAAAAATGCCTAGTCTGGGATGGCTCAGGAAATGCTATCAGCAAATTGATAGAAGGTATTGTAAGTACAAGTTGAAAGCTAGGCTGAATAATTTTTACAGTGACATTATAAATCAAGTTTTATTTTCTATTGCCGCTTTTAAAGGCACCATGTGTCCACTTAAATTATGTTAATTTTGTAACAAATTTCTATTTTCTCAAGACTATTTTAAATGTCATGAAGGAAGTCAGCTTTGATATTTTTATAAAAAATAACTTCAATTCCTTAAACAAGCTTATAAAATGGCTTTTTTCCTTACTTGCACATTTTCTTATAATTTACATTTTAGGAAAGGATGGAGGGCTTATTACATTTCCTGTTTTATTACATTCTGAATTTTGCCTTGTTTATAATGCTTAGCATATTTTATATTTCTTAAGATGCTTAGGTCATCTTTCTTTGGAATAAGCTCTAGAAGTGTATTTTCCTGGGAGGTAGTAGTCATCCATGCTAATGGAAGGAACTTTAAACTTACAGTTGGTCTGGCTTGACTATAGATAATTTGAACTAGTTTAATCAACTCAGACCCATTAATAGGTTTTTCATTCATACCTAAACATGACACTGAGTAGTTCTTATGATTTAAAAATAAAATCCTTAATCACTTTATTAATTGTAAAATATGTATGATAAAACAGCAGCTTTTATTTAGTCATTGTAAGTTATATAGGATGATGCCTTTAATTTTTATTTAAAATTTTAGACTGTAGGAATGCATTAGATCTGATTTCTCTTGCCTGATCCTGTGGTGATCTCCATGGCTACTCTTCTGCCTGCACGGTGCCTTTCATCATAATGAAGAAATTAGTATCAAAATGAAAATAGTTTACTTCTATATTCAGTATTATCCTCTACTGTTGGTTGACAGGGTCCTGAAGACAACTGAATGTATGCCATCACACGTTTAATAACAGGTTATACAGTGACATAAATTTAACCAAATGAATAAAGTTCATTTCATAGCAGTATGAGGGACCATTGGAATTCAAAAATGCATATTCTTGTCTATAGGAATATCACATCCAAGTGAGAACTCTTGGATAAGAGTTTTTCATTTAGTTTTTTGCTTAACCATGCACATACTTATTGATGCCTTAACTTCTAACATTAGAATTTGTAGAGCTTTTTAATGTTTTTTTTTTTAAACTCCAGGTTACGGAAAAATCTAAAATCTCTAATCATTGTACATCCCTCATGGTTTATCAGAACACTTCTGGCTGTTACAAGACCCTTTATTAGGTAATTTTTTGAGAGCCATTGACTTCTAAGAAAACAAAAATACAAACTCCTTGTTTGAATTTCTTGTCAGTTCTGTTGGTCACAAACATTAAGGTAATTATTTTTATTTTCTTCCATAGCTCAAAATTCAGCCAAAAAATTAGATACGTCTTTAACTTGGCAGAACTAGCAGAACTTGTCCCTATGGAATATGTTGGCATACCAGAATGCATAAAACAGTATGTTTTGTTTTATTTCTTTAATTATATTGGATCTTTATATTTTGATGTGCAAGAGGTAAATATTTTTCAATACTTAATCTTTCTCAACTCATACGTTATAAATATTTTGTAACTTGTTTTTGTAACAAAAACAAAGGGGAAGAAGCCATTTTCCAACACTTTCCCCATTAATCACCATTTTCATGAGGCTCGCAGTTGAAGGAATAAAGGAATTATTTCTAGTTGTTTCATTTATATTGTTGAAGACTTGTTGCAATTTAAGATAATTTCACGGTTGGTATATACTAATAAACATTCTCCAAACTTGAACATGCTGCTCTCCAAATTTGAGTAAGCTCATCATGACATCAGATAGTGATATTACTAGAAAAATAAAATACTATTTATAGCAGCCTAATCTTAATACTTTCCAGTGACTGGAATTTGTTGTGTTTATCAAATTTACTTACTTCCATTGAAGGACTTGGTAGAAGGGTATTAACAAATACTTGAATATTATAGTGCTGTAATACAGAAAAAAAGTTTCTTTGTTAATCTGAGGTTTTCGTCTGTTTAATGTGTCAAAGCCAGATTTCTTAAGTTGGTTTTGACTTTCTACATAGTGTATTAAATAGTTTTGATTTGCCTACAGACTTTATGAGTTTATTTTTAGTGCCTTTTTTCAAGTTTTTGTTCATCTTCATAACATCTATATTTACTGAAATAACTCTTCCCTACCAAGGTATGAAGAAGAAAAGTTAAAAAAGAAACAAAAAAGGTATATGCACACCTTGACTGGGTTGCATCTAGACTAGTCCATTTGCATTGCACAGACTAACTCTTCCTTATTGGTTGGTTAGCTTGTAGACAAAGATAATAGCATTTGTAAATATAAATATACCCCAGAATCCAAATACAGAGTGAGTCCAAAGTTCCTGATGCTGAATATGGCCTGGATTCACCCTGCTTCATCACCATGTATAATGCTAATTAGGAATTAACAGCCACAGCCGCTCCTCCCTCCTTTCTGATATAAAAAACAACCGATGGTTAAAACCAGAGAAATTACTAAAAATGCTATTTGAAAAACCATTTACGTTTAAGACTTTGTTTCACCACATTCTTTATTAAAGCTCTAACTTGTGCTTTTGAAATATTTATGCACTTTTTTAAGAAATCAATTAATTTCCCTGGGGTTGATTATATTTGCAGTGCACATATTCTTTGGCTAACCAACATTGATTTCCTTATTTGCTTAAATGGCCTGCTAACCAGTCAAATTCTACATGTGGAAAAATACCTAAAAGTTCAATGTACTATTTAATAATTAAACACTGCTTTCCATCTTAAATTTAATTTTAAATACTTGTGCTTTGAGCATAACAAACTATTACCTATTAATGTCTTGGCATAGAAGATGAAAGGCAAGGGTATAAAATAGTTACCATTTCATATAGTAATTTAGAAAAGCATGGGATTTAGATCTAACTTATTAATACATTTTAAAAATATTGACAAATGAGCAAAAACAGTTTATTAAAGTCTGAAGAATTAGGGTGAAAGGTTTATGTGCAGTTACCAATTTTGACCATTCTAAGGAGCAAATTGTAAGGTACTGAATTTGGAACATTCTTAACTGTGAAAAGACATTTTGGCTCTGTTAATGATCAAGAATTCAGTTGACTGCGTGATAGAATCATAGCTTTACATTTCTGTATTGCACTTTACAGTTTAACAAACATTTTTACATGGATGTGGACAGTGATTTTAACTCTTGCTAATTTCTCATTCCTTTGTCACCATTGGTGTGCATTTGCCAGACAACTGTCTGAAATTAAAAATATGTGTAATTATAGAATATTTTGAAGCCAGCTGCTTCATGGATTTCAGAATGCCTTTACTGATAAAATTGTGCCTTTTAACAAAGTTCTTAGTGTTTAATTACCTGTTAAGTAATTTAGGCATCAAAAAAGTAGAACTGTACTTTTCATTTAAATGTAGTGTTTGCAACCTACCACAACTGTTTTATCTTGGTTTTTTTCCTAATTTTTGTTCACTTTTGTTTTACCTTAAGTAGATCATTATGTATTTCTCCGAGGCACTTCTTAATTTTTGTACAAAGTTTCTTTAGCCTTAAAAAAAGAAATTTTTTTGATAGCTTTAAAATGAAAGCATTATGTTTTAAAAATAGAGGGACATGTTTTTCAAACCAAAAGTTAACAAAGGCTGCATGTAGAGGAGCTTACTTAAAGTGAAGTCTCTATAATGAGCACTGGTCATAAGGAGGACACGGAACTGTCGGAAGTATAGCATTTTTAAATATTTTAGGTGTTTCTTTCAAACAAGTCAGTTCAAGTGTGGCTAGGCAGATAACGATTGTTAAAATGTTTGCAGTTTAAAAATGAAGTAATTGTGTAATTCGTTGATAAGGATATTTCAGATCTTGGAAAGATTGGATGTATATTGCATGCCTTGTCAAGAATATCTACCTTTCAGATTTTTTTATACCAATATAAGAAATATTTTAAATGTTGTTAATCAGGCTTTACCACAGGCCAGAGCTTTTAGGTTTGATTTACTAATGTTTAGGCGATCATAGTATCTTCATACCAAATTGTTTTAAGTACCCTCCATCAGTAATTCAAATTACTACAAATATAATAGTAATAGACTGTATTATCTTTGACGAGTTTTCTGTAATTGTGATAATTACATAATTCTTTAATTCCCTCTTGCCCAAATTTTAATATGATCTCTGTACAACCCACTACTAATCCAGTTGCATTTTTAATCTACATCTAGATATTCCTGATTACTAAGTTCTGTGGTTTCTTACTGTCAAAGTAAGTGAAGGGCATTCACATACTAAGTGTACCAGTACATTTTGGAGAATAATATGGTTTTAGTAAATTTTTATCACTGAATTTAAAAAATACTAATTGATCAATTGGGGCATTATTGGCATTTTAATATTTCAGCTAACAAAAATCATTTTTAAGGGAGTTCTTCCTGTCAGCTCCTCTCTTATCACTTAGAGCCCTGCCCCAGCCATGCTGCAGTTCAACATTTTTGTATGCCTGTTGTAATTTGAACTTTTTGTAAAATTTATGTGTGCATTCATATGTAAAGTATACAGTCATATTTCTTGCCAGTGTCCTCTTGTCTTTAAAATTTATCTTTTCTGGTTGGGAAAATGTTTGGTAATCTTTTTACTGTGCTTCTTTGCAAAGCTTTGTTTTTAACAATAATACGCTATCCTAAAAGTAGTCATTATTTTTAGAAAGAAAATGGTGCAGTTGCTAGTGCCTTATTTTCTATGTTGTTTTTCATTAAACAGAGTTGATCAAGAGCTTAATGGGAAACAAGATGAACCAAAAAGTGAACAGTAAGTTTGGCATCTAGTCCAAACAAGACTGAAGAATGTGCTGATGAAGCAGTGCTCTTTTTTGCATTTGTATTGCATTATTGGCTCTGATTTTTATGTAACCTGTTACAAAATTGATTTGGCATTTTCTTAATGGACTTTTGTATAAGGGACTGTTCACTGCTGTATTGGTTTTCAAAACTCATGAATTTAGCTCTTACTAGCTAATTATATTGTAATCATTTTATATTTTATATTGCTAAATAGAGAACCATACTTTATATAAAACAGTTTTTGCATTTGTTTATTGAATGATGCATCTTCAGTAAAATATTTATATACCTAAATGGTAAAGGAAAGAGATAATATATATTTTTATGTTTTTGAGCAATATTGTTTAATGTATACCTACCTGTCTTGTGGAAGAATATGCAGGTAAATAAGACCATGATTTTGTAAAGTGCATGTTAGAACTTTTGTTTTTGTAAATGGTTAAATACATTTCCTGGGTAGCTTCCAAAATAAAGTTGCTCATAAGATGAGGAACAGTTAAACTGGTTCTCACGAATGCCCAGAGGTCATGTACATAGTCTAAGTAGACTAGTGCCATCCTATGCTTTTTTCCCACTTAGCATATGTTGTTTCTTATTTCAGAAGTACAAATATAAGTGTGTTGCACACTTCTTCCTTTTTAAGCTTAAAGACAAGTCAAAAAGCCATTTTTAAAACTAGGGAATTTAAGAAGTTAATAATTGCTATTTGTATATGTATATATATGGGACATTCTATCTTCTGGCCTAAAGTCAGAGCTTTATAAAAATCTTAGGTTTGTTCACTAATGTGAAATAAGCTATGTAAGGGTATCACTCTCCTGTATCTGTGTGAGTGCAGGGTAGTATTTAGAGAGTATGATGAGTTATTCACTGTCACTACTTTTCTATAGAAAACAGGATGCTTTTTAAACTGTTCTCAGTGTGGGCACCTCATCAGAATATACCTCCCTGTCAGTTATTTGAACTTGGTAGGTATTGACCTAGTCAGATATGGTTTGTTTTCACATTTTCTGTTGAATCGTTTTACAGTGCTGTAAAGGAAGTTATTTTGTTAAGTCTCAGAGCATCATTGGATTACATTGTTTTACATGGCACATTTGATATGAACATATAAACTCCTTGTTTAATTTGGTAAGTATCTTGACTCTACATTAAAATAGAATTTACACATTCCTCAAACAAAGCTTAATTACCCACAAAGTCATCCTAATACAACAGATTGGTCTAATATTGTATCATATACTTGTGTGGCTCATATACATTTAGTCTAATATTGTGTCATATACTTGTATGTTCATATGCATTGTTGAATACATAATTTGAAGGTCATACCACACTCCAGCCTGTCCTATAAGGTAATTTACAAGACCGTCCCAGAGTGGCAAAATTGAAGTGGATGAGAGCTAAACTTACACTGAATACACATATGGCTTTTACTATTGACATTTTTAGTATAAAGTTTCTATTACAAAAGAGAATTCACACTGAATACACATATGGCTTTTACTATTGTGAGCAAGACATTTTTAGTATAAAGTTTCTATTACAAAAGAGAATTTTCCTTTACCTTTTATCCTCCTCAGTCATTAACCTAAGTGCAGTTATGGAAGGTGCTAGAGGATTCCCAGGATGAGATTTCCTCCAGTAGCCTCCTGAAGTCACTTGGATCCAGCAGCTGTAGGCAGATCCTGAACTCATGTCATTATAGCAAATAAAGCCAAAACCATTATCGCTTCCTCAAATCTTAGAAACACTTTGTGTTGAAAAAGCAAACTTACTATAATAACTTAGGTATTCCTTCTGAATTTACCATATGGGGATTATGGATATTAAATTGAATTGTGATTAGAGTCTATATGTGTAGAGCTCTTTAAGCAGTCTTTCATCTGTAAGTCTGTCTTGCTCACAATGGGCTGAGCTTTTTAAATAGGTGGTTTCTTCCACATAAAGTACCCAATTCTTTAGTTTCAATGCTTTATTGTGTTTGTTGACTTTTGCCTTTGCAAGCGTTCTTCCTAACAAAAGATGTAACTTATTGCAAAAGCGGTTCATTTTCCTAATTTTTTTTTTAAGTAGAAGTAAGTAGCCTATATTTTGTTAGAACATTAAAAGTCAGAGGAAGTAGTTATAACACTTAGGATATAATGAAAAGGATGTGCTTTGAATCACTAGATTAAAACATATGTGCCCTAACCTATACCTTAACAGAAGCTGGTATTGGAACATGTCCCATAATAAATATTTCATAACTGTAAGACTTAAGATCATAACTAGTAGGTTAGAGGGAAGGGGCTTATTAAGTTTGTAATTTGTAGCTATGTGACATTTTCCCCATATTCAATTTAATTTTCTATTACTGGTTGATGTGAAAGTGCTTATAATTTTTATCTTTCTGCTGCGGTCATGAATCTAACAACTGATTTGATGCTTCTGTCACTTTTTTGTTATACTTGGGCTCTGAGTGCCTCTTTTTAATCACAGGTTACTTGTATAAAGTAATTCGATTGTGTCCTGGTTAGTCATATTCCCAAGTAGTACCAAGAAAAGACTCTTGACTTCATAGTTTAAGCCTAATAGTCTTTAACTCGGGATGTGGGAGGTGGGGTAAAGAAATAGGATTCTAAGTACGGCCGAGAAGCGTAATTGTAAAGGAAGATAACAAAACAAGAAAGTAAGAGAAAGAAAACTACATAGGGATGTCAGCTGTTATCTAAGGTACCACTGAACATGTCTCTGTTAAGGGAAGGGCTGTGCATGGGAGCTTTTGGTACCATTTCTTGTATCCAGCAGGAAAATCTGCAGGCTACACACACATTATGTAAGGAGACTGTGGAGCGGAGGGAGGAAAAGCTGTAATACCTATAATGAGAATTCATATTTTCCTCTCCTTTGTCTCTTCATACAGAAGCATGTTTGAACAAAGAGGGTCAGCAATTAACAGTGCTCAGATTAAAGTTTAGGGCTAGGTTATATCTCATATATCATGGTTGGTAAACATTAATGTAGTCTTCCAAAGTAGACATCATTATTTGGTGACTGCACTGAATGCTGGTATTTGCTAACTGACAAGTACATGTATCTAGCTAGAGTTACTTCAGCTGCAGTTCCAGGGTTTAAAAAAATAAGGAATCTGCTTTTTTGTTAGAGACTTCCTGAAAATGACTATATGGCATTACTGTTTGGCTGTTTTTATGTGAGTGTTTACGAATTTGGAAGTGTTTGATTTAATGCAGAAGTGGCCTTTTAGATTTCTTCAGTTGATAAGTAATCATTGGGATATTTTGGGCAGAAAAGGCCGGTTTCCTGATGAGATTGGTAAGGGTGTATATAAGGTGACAGTAGTTTCATCCTACATTTTTTCCTATGTTGTATGTGGAAAATTGCTAACATTGCTCAAACAGAAGGGAGGAAGAAAGAGGCTGAAAATAGAAATTGCTGCCCCATTCCATTTTGTTTTATGCCTGTTTTATCCTCATCCTATATATAGATCACAAATCTCAGAAAGATGGGAATAGAGGAATTAAAGTACTTATGTTAGACCAACTATTCTGTTTATCGTGTCATAGTGAACAGGAATTGTATAATTGCTGGGAAAAAGAGTCAAAGCAGACTTGCATGGGAAGATCAGCTGGCAAGGAAGTGGGAGATTGTCTACTCAGTATTCTAGTAGTGCAGAAGAATTACCTAGGGAGCCTTTTATCTGCCTCTTCCTGTCTCAGGAATCTGAATGGACTAGGATCAGATCAGTGGTGAGTCCCAACCATGTAACGTTCCTTTAAAGTTTTAAATGATAACTGAAAGTAAGGTCATATGTTGAACAGTAAGGAGTGACACTAAAATTGGAACAGAACTATTTATTACTTTGTTGCAACTATATGTGATAGATGTACTTAATTTCTTATGTTTTGAGAACTACTTTGAAAATGCTATGAAGAGCTCACATAAAGCACTTAATAACATTGAACACTAGATGAACAAGGTTTAATGCCTTCAAGTTAGTAAGAGTTATATTAAGCTGTTTGCTTCTGGTGTCTGAGTCTCTTAAAAGATATTCTACAAGGAGTTAAAACATTTGCATTTAAAATTTTTTATGTGTTTTTACATTCTGTGTGGCTAAAGAGGAACTTGGACAATATTAACTACTCCACTGCACTTATTGTATATGGGCTTCGTAAATCATGTTCCTTACAGTTTATTTACATAAAACTAGCCGGTAAATATTGGTGGTGTTCAGGGCCACTGATTTGCACAGCATTTGGAGCATCATTCACATAGAACACAATTCAGAGTTTGTTAGACACTAACACTTTGATACATGTTTCAAAAATTCAAATATTTTTATTACCTTAAATTCACACACTGCCATTTGGACACAGTTAATGTACTGTGGTCATTTCACGACTATTCAAATGTTGCCTAGTGCTCTCATTTTACAGTGTGCGAAATTCAGTTTGGATGACTGTGTGCAAGACGTTATGTGGTCCCTGTAAGAAATACTAGTCATAATTTACCATTTCCCCTTGACTTATTAGGAATATAATAACTATGTCTGGATTTGTTGCATATAGTATTTTTGCAACGTTAATGAATTAAAATAAATTAATTGGAAAGTTTGATTTTGACTCATTTTATCACATTCTCCCATTTCGCTATTAAATTTTTACACTGTCATCTTGTCTTTCACAGTTTTAGAGCTTTACTTTTATTTCTCTTCTATAGGTGCTGCTTCTTGTTCTTTAAGGAGTGAAGAGTTCATCCTGCTTTAGTTTTAAACATCCCAACTATAATCAAACTTTTAATTTTATAGTTTAGTTATTTTAGTTAGGGGGAATCCATTGGTGAAATCAGTTAAGTGGCTGAGAACGGCATAAATGAGAACCTGTTTATAGAGCTGCTCAGAGGCTCTAGTTTGTAGCACTTGTTTTTGCATTTACTCCATAATCACTATTCAGCTATTTAATGGCAAACAGCTATACACATTACTGCTGCCTTTAATCCAGTTAGAATACCATTTGGGATTATGTACACTTGACGTACATATTAAATTGTATTAGGCATAAATATTAGGTAAACTAAATTAAAATTATTCATAAATCAAACTAAAAGGTTTCTGGGCTAAATGAATTGCAGCCCTGCATTTAGTGGTAAAGAAATACTTGTTGTAATCTCTTCAGAATTTGTCAATTTAGTATTGCAGGGTCTTAAGTATCAACCCGAACACAGTCAGGCATAAAATGTGACTGTCCGACATTTCTTAATTGTGCATTTTACGGTAGAGAAGATGAGTCTCTAAATTATCGTTTCCTTATGAGTGACTTAGTAAACCTGGTGAGTCACTGGAAAAGTGAGGCTGTGCACGGGGTGGGGCTCGAAAGGCCGGGCCCCACGCCCCTGCGTTGTCCACACCTTCCCTGTCGTGGTTTGAGTGACGAGGGAGCAGGGGTGGGCGGAGCCGCCGGCCCACTGGCGTGTTGTCACTTCCAGGTTCTGCGAGCACTTCCGGGTTGTGGGTCGAGCTTGGCGGGTTCTGCGGCGCCCGAAGAGCCAGTTGGGGAGGTAGGCAGCACCTTCAGGGCTGCTGGCTGCACCCCTTCTGTCCGCTCGGCGGCGGGAAGCACCTTCCCCAAAGGTACTGGGTGAGCGGGGCCCGCGCCGCTTCCCGCCCCCGACAGCTGCGGCCGCAGTCGCTCGGGTCTCCTCCGAGGCCTGAATGGACAGTGAGGCCCCTTCCCTCCCGGCGCCCGGGGTTGGCCCGTTACCGCCTCCGCCGCCGGGATGGCCCCGCGGCTGGTACTCGGGAAGGGCAAGCAGGCGGCGGGAGATGGGTGCGGCCTGTGGCGGGAGGCTTGACCGCGGGGCGCCACCGGAACGGTCCTAGGGGGAGGTCCTCAGCCCAGCCCCGTTTTTTTAGCCAGGTGAATTATCTTAAAGTGTCCAGGGATTGTTTTGTTGTGTTTTTGCTTATTTCTGAATATTGGGGAACGCATTCCTTAAGTGTCTCCTTCTTGTACTGCTTTGCTTTTCTGAAGTCACCCCTCCAACTTAACGCGAACTCCTAGGGAACGAATTTAAACTGAATGGTTTGATAGAGGAGGAGGATCATTGAGTTACTTCCGAATGTGGACCCTTTAAAATTTCTAACCTGCGGAATGGAGTACAGAATCATATGGATGATACCACATCTAACAGATTTGAATATTTCACAAGGAATTTTTAAGAGTATCTTTAAAGCAAGTTATTTCAACAAACATTTAAAAAACAGCTATTTATTTTAAACTTACTGAGGTATAATTGACACGTAACATTTCAGTTGTACAGCGTAATGATTCGATATTTGTATATACTGAATAACGATCACCACATGTCTAGTTAATATCCGTCACCATACATAGTTTTTTTTTTCTTGTGTTGAGGACTTTTAAGATCTCTGTTAGCAACTTTCAAATAAGCAGTACAGAATGATTAACTATAGTCATCATGCTATACATCTCATTCCCAGGATTTACTAATTTTATAACTGGAAATTTATACCTTTTGACCCCCATCTCCCATCCTTGCCTTCAAACTCCCAATTACCAGTCTGTTCTCTGTATCTATGGGCTTGGGTTTTTGTTTTGTTTTTTAGATTCCACATACAAATGAGATCATAGGGTATTTCTCTTTCTCTAACATATTTCACTTAGCATAATGCCCTCAAGGTCCATACATGTTTTCTCAAATGGCAAGATTTCTTTCTTTTTTGATGGCTGAGTAAATTCTATTGTGTACCTACCACAGGTTCTTTATCCATTCTTTAATTAGTGGACACTCAGGTTATTTCCCCTATCTTGGCTATTGTAAATAATGTTGCAGTGAACATAAGGGTGCATATATCTTTTAAAGTTAGTGTCTTGGGGTTTTTTGGATGAATACCCACAAGTGAAAAGCTGAATCATTTGGTAGTTCTATTTTTAATTTTTTGAGAAACCTCCGTACCAATTTCCATAGTGACTGAACCAATTTGCATTTCCAGTAACAGTGAACAGAGGTCCCCTTACTCCCACAGCCTCACCAACACTTGTTATTTCTTGTCCTTTTGGTAATAGCCATTCTAACAGTGTAAGGTGATATCTCATTGTGGTTGTGATTTGCGTTTTCCTAATAGTGATGTTGAGCACCATATCCTGTCTTGTTGGCTATCTGTATGTCTTTGGAAAAAAGTCTATTGGTCATCTGCCATTTTTTTAATAAAATAGTTTCATGTTTTGCTGTTGAGTCGAAGGAGTTCTTCATATCTTTTAGATATTGGCTCCTTATCAGATAGGTGATTTGCAAATATTTTCCCATTCAGTAGGTTACCTTTTCATTTTGCTGATGCTTTACTTTGTTTTTGTGCTGAAGCTTTTCAGTCTGATGTAGTCCCACTTCCGTATTTTGCTATTGTTGCTTTTACTCTTGGTGCTAGATTAAAAAGTCATCACCAAGACCTGTGACAGAGAGCTTCCCATCCTAGGAGTTTTATGGTTTCAGGTCTTATGTTTAAGTCTTTATTCCACTTTGAGTTATTTTTTATGTGCAGTGTAAAGTAGTTGTCCAGTTTCATTGTTTTGCATGTGGTTGTACAGTTTCCCAGCACCATTTTTTGAAAAGACGTCCCTCAATTGTCTGTCCTTGAGTCCTGTTGTGAGTTAATTGACCATATATGTTAGGTTTATTTCTGGGCTGTGTATTCTGCTCTGTTGATTTATGTATATCTATTTTTATACCAATACCATAATATTTAATTACAAGAGCTTTCTAATCGGTTTGAAGTCAGGGAACATGATGTAGAGAAATACAACAGACTTCTGTGTATTTTGTATCCTGCAATTTCACTGAATTTGTTTTAACAGATTTTTGATGGAGTGTTCAACATTTTCTATATATAATACCATGTCACCTGAAAATAGTGACAGTTTAAATTCTTCCTTTCGATTTAGATGCCTTTTTTTTTTCCTTTCCTAATTGCTCTGGCTGGGACTTAAAACTACTGTGTTGAGTAGAAGTGGCAAGAGTGGGCATCCTTATCTTGATCTTAGAGGAAAAGCTTTAGCTTTTCACCATTAAGTATGGTGTTGACTGTGGGCTTATAATATATGGCCTTTATTATGTTGAGTTACATTCCCTCTATACCCACTTTGTTGAGTTTGTATCACAAATTTATGTTGAATTTTCAGATGCTTTTTATGTATCGAGATGATCACATAATTTTTACCCTTCATTTTGTTAATGTGTTACATCTCATTGACTGACTTGCAGATATGGAATCATCCTTGCATGCCTGGAATAAATCCCACTTAATCATGATGTTTGAGCCTTTTAATGTATTGTTGAATTAGGTTTGCTAATATTTTATTGGGCAGTGTTACATCTGTCTTCATCAGGAATCTTGGCCATTAATTTTCTTTTCTTGTGCCTCCCTTAATTTTTGTCTGTGGTCTAAGATAGTAGTCTGGTTTGATTTTTGCATGTGGCTTTCACAACATGTTTATTGAAGAGACTCCTTTCTCCATTGTATATTCTTGGCTTCTATGTCATAAATTGACTGTATACATGTGGGTGTATTTTTTGGTTCTCAATTCTGTTGCACTGATCTAGGTATGTTTTAATGCCAATACCATACTGTTTTGATTACTGTAGCTTTGTAATTAGGTTGAAGTCAGGGATCGTGATGCCTCCAGCCTGTTCTTTCAGGAAATTACTTTGGCTATTTCAGGGTTTTGAGGTGGTCTACATAAATTTTAGGACTGTTTGTTCTATTTCTGTGAAAATTGCCTTTGGAATTTTGATAGAGATTGCACTGAGTCTGTAGATTGCTTTGGGTAGTAGGGACATTTTAACAATATTGTTCTTTCAATTCATGCACTTGGAATAGCTTTCCATTTATTTGTGTCTTCAATTTCTTTCAGCAGTGTCTTGTAGATTTCAGTGTACAGGTCTTTGACCTTGATTACATTTATTTGTACATATTCTTTTTGATGCAATTGTAAATGAGGTTGTTTTATTAATTTCTCTTTCTGATAGTTAGTTGTTAACATATAGGTATTTTCTAGATAACCCTTAAAGTTTTGTTAAATGGATATGACACAGATTCTGTACTCCTACTTTGTTAAGTTTATATCTCTCTATAGAGACTTCTCCTTGCCCTTTTTAAAAAAAAACCTGCAAACCCCCTTCCCCCCCACACACAAACACATCATATTCAGTGGTTTTTGCTTTCATTAATTCAATGAAGAAACATTTATTTGACTCCTATTATGTGTCAGGCACTGTTTGTTCTAGATCCCTGGTTTGCCTCTGTGAACAAAACAGACAAAAGACCCTGCTCTGTTGGATCTTACATTCCTTTTGGAGGATGCAGAAAATAAACATAAAATAAGGAAATTATATAATGTATTAAAAGGCACCATCAAAAAAACATAGAAGAATAAAGAGGACTGATAAGTTCCAGAGTGGAGGTGGGAGTTCTTTTGTAAATATAGAGGTCATTTTAGACCTCACTGAGTATGTGCTATACTTGGAGGAATTAAAAGAACCAGCTGGATATCTGGGGAAGAGCATTCCAGACAGAAAGAACAGCCTCTACGAAGACCTACATAGACCGCCAATAATGAGGAAGCTAGTTTGGAGAAGGGCAAGAGTAAGGCAAAGATAGTAGATAAAGTTGGAGCGATAAAAGGTAGCCAGGTTATTGTAAGGACCTTAAGAAATAGAAACCATAGGAGGTTTTGAGCTGAAAAGATGTATGTTCTAACCGATGTTGTAAATATCATCTGGCTGCTGGATTGAAATGAGTGTAGGGGCCAAGTGTTGGAAGCAGGAAAACCAGCTATGAAGCTGTTCCCTGATGCAAATGACAGATGATAGTGGCACAGAACAGGGTGATAACAGAAGGAATGGTGAGAAATGGTTGGATTCCGAATGCATTTTAAAGGAAGACTCTACAAAAGAGTGCTAGGGATTGAAGGTAGAGTTTATAGGAATTGCTAAGGGTAAGACTGGGGGCAGGGGAGAGTGGCTGATAACTTCGAAGGTTTTTGCTTAAGCCCAACTTCCAAGTGAGACAGGAAAAAGAACAATTAGAGATGTTAAATAAGTGGTTGAATTCAGGATTGAGTTTAAGTGTGATGTCTGTGCTAGTATATGAATTTGGGGATCATCAGCAATGGTATTAAAAGCCATAAGACTGAATGTTATTACTAAGGATAAGCATAGACAGAAAGCAGCAGAGGATCAAGGAGGGTGTCATATGACATTAAGAGTTCAGGAAGAAAAGGATCAACCAATAAATGATACTGAGAAAAATGAACCAGTGAATTTCAGAGAAGAACACAAAATATGGTGTTCCAATAGCTAAGCCAAGATCCTTCATAAAGAGGGTAATCAGCTGTGTCAAATACTTAAGTCTGGTAAGGACATTAGCTTTAGCAATGCCATTGGTGACCTTTATCATCTGCCTCATTTAAATGAGTGCAAACTCTTACGAGAAGTGAGTTTAAGAGAAAATGGGAGAAGAGGAATGAGACAATGAGTTGTCTGGACTCATTAACTCTTAGGAGTTTTGCTTCAAAGAGGAACATAGAATTAGAGTATAGCTGATGAGGGGAGTAG